CCCCAAAACCCCAAAACCCCAAAACCCCAAAACCCCTCTAAAGTTTGACATTTTTGAATGCAATTTAGAATAATTAAAAATGGCCAGCTCGATATTGTTCATCAATGAGAAGGGAGATATTCTGATCTTCAGAAAATTTAGAGATGATGTGAGTAGGAAGGAAACCATGAATTTCTGTAATAAGATTGTTGCTACCAAAGAAGTCAAGGAGACACCAATGGTTGAGATCGATGGAGTTACTTTTATGCATACCACTGTGAATGATGTGACTGTCGTCGCTACTACTAAAACAAACTGCAATGTCACGATGCTAATCGAGTTTTTATACCAGCTAATAATCCTTTGCAAGGCTTTTATAGGCAGTGAGTTCAATGAGAACCAAATTCGAAAGAATTTTGTCCTCATTTATGAACTATTAGATGAGGTTATGGATTATGGCCTACCTCAAATCCTTGAGCCTGATGTCCTAAAATTGTACATCACAACTGGAAAGGTAGCAAAGAAGCTAGATAATATTGAAAAGCTCAAGCAAATCACCATCCAAGCTACTGGAGCTATCCCATGGAGATCAGAAGGAATTAGATATAGGAAAAACGAAATCTTTATTGACATTATTGAAAATCTGAATGTGTTAGTCTCCAATAAAGGAAATATCCTCAGAACTGATGTTGTCGGCCAAGTTGTCATGAAGACCAAGCTCACTGGAATGCCTGAATGCAAGTTCGGTATTAATGACAAACTCTTCATGAGAGCAGCCTCTGGAGATCCAAGAGGTACTGTCTCCAGGGGAATTGATATTGATGATATTAAATTTCATCAATGTGTCAGACTCGGAAGGTTTGACAGAGATAGATCAATCACTTTCGTTCCTCCAGATGGAGTTTTCCAATTGATGACTTACAGAATTACCGAGAATATCAATCTCCCATTCAAAATTATGCCGATTGTGCAAGAGTATGGAAAATCAAGAATTGAATATTCAGTAAAGATTAAGTCTATTTTTGACAGCTCTAACTTTGCTTCAAACATCATTGTAAAGATCCCAGTTCCTAAGAATACAGCTACCTGCAAAGTGTTCTCCACAGGTATTGGAAAGGCTAAGTATGAGCCTGACCAGAGCGCTCTTCTTTGGAGAATCAAGAAACTAAATGGAGACTCTGACTATGTTCTGATTGGAGAGGTAACATTAACCCAGACCAAGTCTGATAAGCAATGGGACAGACCTCCTATTGGTCTTGAATTCCAGGTCCCAATGTTTACAGCTAGTGGACTAAGAGTCAGATACCTCAAAGTCCATGAGAAGAACAATTACAAACCTACCAAGTGGATTAGATACATCACAAAAGGAGGAGAGTATGAAGTCAGAATCTAATTGTTTGGCAATAAGTCTCAATTACTCAGAATATTATAGGGGTTTTGGGGTTTTGGGGTTTTGGGGTTTTGGGGTTTTGGGGTTTTGGGG